TGTGTGTGTGTGTGTGTGTCTGTGTGTGCTAGTATACACACATACAGGAGTGGCCTATGTACCTACATGCAGAGATATATGTGTGCATGCTCAGGAGGTATAAACATTCCAAACAACACATTCCCACAGCTTAGGTGGCTCAGAGCTGAAGGTCCCCAAGGGTGAGCACATCTGTGTGCCACACGGCCTCTCCCCATTGCCCTTCCTCTGCCTCCTTGGTCCCTCACAGCATCCTTTCCAGTAGGTTCTTAGAAGCCAGCCAGAAGCCAAGTATCACTCTAAGACAGCAGAGGAACCATCCAGCCTCTGTTCAGCAAGGTTTCTCCAGGGTGCAGGGAATTCTGGTGCAATACCATCTGCAACAAAGCCCGTGACCCTGTGGCACGTAACTGTTCACTCCCCTGCCCATGAGAACCTCTTCAGTGTTGAAGATGAGCCTATCACCACCACACCACAGCACGGAGAAACCATGGACATTGATGATGTGGGTGGAAATCGGTGGTACTAACATGTCTTTCCTTGGCTGTCCACAGCGTCGCGATTCTCCAGCCCACGAGTGACCCCCCGCCTGAGCCGCAAGCGGGCGCTCTCCATCTCCCCACTCTCAGACGCCAGCCTCGACCTGCAGCGCATGATCCGGACCTCTCCCAACTCACTGGTAGCTTATATCAACAACTCCAGGAGCAGCTCAGCAGCTAGCGGCTCCTATGGACATCTGTCGGCTGGTGCCCTCAGGTGAGCCCCGGCAGCACGTGGGGGTAAGAACTGGGAGCTGGGCTGGGGCCGCATGGCGGAATGTGGCCTTTCAGGTAGAGCTTTCTACTGGAGAAAGACAGAAGTTAACGCCAGTGTCTCAACACTCTAGCAACTATGTTGATAATTCAAAAGCAGCAGTGAGGCTGGGGATGTGACTTTTTGGTAGAGGCCCTGACTGACATGCACGAAGCCCTGGGTTCCGTCCCCAGCACTGTATAAAACCAGGCAGTGGTGGCACATGCCAGTAATCCCAGCACTCAGGACACAGTGGCAGGGGGATCAGAAGTTCAGAACCACTGGCTACTAGTGAGTTCGAGGACAACCTGGGCTACAAGAGGTCCTATATGTAAACAACAACAAATCAACAGTGACACAGAGAGTTCATGCCAACTGATGACAGGTTTACCGTGTAAGGATGTACCCCAGGGGTTCCACCATGGCATCAGAGGTAGCCAAGGTCAAATGTGGCCTTCTTAGGAGCTGGGGACATAACCTAGTGGGTAGAAACAGTAGCCACACGAGTGTAAGTGTTTGAATCCTCAGAACGCATGTCTAAAGTCAGGCATGTAGCCCAAGTATCCATAGTCAGCACTCCTGTGGAGGGATGGAAGTGGAGACAGGAGGGTCCCTAGAAGCTCACGGCTGGCCTGTAGTCGCTAACACATTGAACGGTGAGGACTGATACCCAAAGTTGTCTTTGACTTCCATATGTATACTTGGGCATGTTCCTTACCTGCATATACAAATGCTGAAAAATATATATACATCTATGTACACACACACACACACACACACACACACACACACACACACACACGGTTGTTAATGAAGTGGCTGTTCTAGTATTTCCCTAGTGTGGCAGAGGATCTCGCTGTTGGCTAACACGAAAGGTCACACCAGGTGTGACACTGGTGTGTGATCCATGCCCGAAGCACATCTCAAGGGCTAGTAACAAGTCTCACTCACTGTGGCCCCAACAACACTGCTGTCCCCCTTTCACTCCATGCACCTCCCCGAGGACTCAGATCCAACCAGCATGACCGAAACGTGTGCCTGCCCCAGCCCCGGCCACTTGCGAGGGCTGGATATAGGCGCTTACAGTGCAGTTGTTTACAAAATCTGCTGCATAACAAGTTGCTCTCGCACTGAGCATTTTAAAGGCTAAGCCCACACCAAGGAGCAAGAATTTGAGGCTGATGGGGCTGGAGAGATGGCTCAGTTGTTACTGAGCATTTGCTACTCTTCCAGAGGACCTGGATTTCGTTCCCAGAACCCACATTGGGCAACTCACAACCACTGGTAACTTTAGCTCCAGGGGATTCAGTGCCCACTTCTGGCCTGTGTGAGTACCCACACATACACAGCCACAGACATATAAATAAAAATGTTTTTAAAAATCTAAAAAAAAGAGAGAGAAAGAGAGAATTTGAGGTTAGCATTGTTCTGAGTTCCCCTTTAAGACACCGAGGCTTCGTCTCTGCCTCTTTTGCAGATTATGGACCTCTGTGTCCAGGAGCATGTCCCCCGTGCTGTGGACAGGAGGCTCTACATGGGGCCTCCTCACGGCATTAGCTCACACTGCAGAGATGCTGGGGTGAGCAAGGAGGAAACCGTATGTCTCTGGTGCATAGTCTCAGGGCCGCCAGCATCCCCTTATGTCTTGCCAGGAAAAAGTGCCTCATGGGCAGGTGTATGACAGCCTGTAAGTGCAGCAGAAGCTAAAAGGGTGGGGGGGGAGTGTGAGCTGAAGGGCTCGGTACCAAGGAGAGAGCATGGTGGTCCAGGGTCAAGTGAAGTTCCAATAGACAGCATTGCCTCAGGGTGCATCCCAGGTGTCAGAGCACAGAAGCAGCCAGGTGCGGGGCTGAGCTCGACCCTGGCACCTGCAGGGAGCCAGCCTGCCCAGGGTCAAGGTTGCATTCACGGAGTTAGGTGTGGGCAGTAAGCCTACATGAGGGCAAGCCATGGGCATGGTATGATTGACATCGTGCCATCCCGAGCTCAGGTACAGTCCTGTGTGCCCAGGAAGTGTTGGTTTGACGGTGACCCCACATGTTTCCCCATCCCCTTCTGTTCTCCACTGCAGCCCAGCCTTTACCTTCCCCCACCCCATCAATCCCGTGGCCTACCAGCAGATCCTGAGCCAGCAACGGGGCCTGGGCTCAGCCTTCGGACACACGCCACCCCTGATCCAGCCCTCACCCACCTTCCTGGCCCAGCAGCCCATGGCGCTCACCTCCATCAGCACCATGCCTACCCAGCTCAGCAGCAACAGCAGCAATTGTCTAAATGATGCCAACCAGGTAGGTGGGTGCAGAGAACCAGAGGTGGACACCGCTGCTCACCCAGCCCCTGAGGGAAGGTCATGGTAGGAGCTGGTAGAGATCTCTGCACTGTGACCTGACTGGTTTGCTGTGGAATATTAATTTAAGATGTGTTACATTCATTTATGCTGTGGAACATTTGTTTAACGATGAAAAGACATGTTACATTTGTTTGACTAAATAAAATTTACCTGCAGTCAGGAGGCTGAGTCAGCAACTAGCTGACAGAAAGTGGTAGGGAGGAGCCACGTGTAGCTAGGCTTCTTACTTCCGGCGGAACAGAAGGACGCTGGTTATTTGGAAAGATTCGAGCAAGGAGGGAAGGTCAGCTATTTGCTATTCAGCCTCTCTGAGCCAGCAGAATTCCACCTCAACCTTTGAAGCCTGAATTCTAGAGAGGGGTAGAGATCTAGATAGAGTTCCCTTTAGCGGCTGTGAGAGAGTTGGTGCCTGAGGGAACAGAATTCCTGCCGGCTGCAGCCCTTACCGCAGAACAGCGGCTGGTAGCTGCAGAGTTGCGGTTGCTGATTAGGACAATGGTTGCTTAAGAAGCAGCCACTGAATTTAGAGAAAAACAACTCTGGTCGGTTGCTTTTAGGACAGAGGCCACGTGATGGGAAGGGCCTTGCACTGAGCCCCCTGGCCTGGGCAGAGGCTACGCCCCCATCACTCGGTCTGTCCTGCTTCAATGCGCAGGGTCCTGTGCCACACAGAAACACTACACGCCTCCTGTGAAGCAAGGTATCTGGGCTCCCCTGCCTCAGCTGGGCCTGGTTGGAGGAGCAATCCAAGAGACTCCGTTTTTGATGCTTCAAAAATAGAGAAGGGTGGGAAAGCTAAGGAGATAGTCAGTGGGTGAAGAGTTTGCCTTGCAAGCCCGAGGACCTGAGCTTGATCCCCAGGATCCACATTTAAAAAGCCAGGCACTGACAGGCAGTGGTGGCACACGCCTTTAATCTCAGCATTCAGGAGGCAGAGGCAGGCGGGTCTCTGATTTCGAGGCCAGCCTGGTCTACAGACTGAGTTCCAGGGCTGCAGAGAAACCCTGTCTCAAAAAATAAAAAAATAAATTTAAAAGTAAAAAGCCAGACATGGTGATATATGTTTGTAATTCTAGCGCTAGGCAGGTGGGGACAGGTGGATCTCTGGGGCTCAGTGACCAGCCAGCCTAGCCTAACTGGGGAGTCCTAGGTCCCAGTGAGAAACCCTCAAAAAGTGTGGGTGATGGCTAAGAAACATACTCAAGAGTAACCTCTGATCTCCACATATGTGTGTGCACATGAACACAAATATACAGATGTGAACCCGCATATAACGCGTACTACACACATATGTGTACACATACATCAAAATACAGGGTTGTCCTAGATGGTCTGTGTGGTCAAACTCCAGAGGCACAGCTCAGCTAGAATTCAGGGGTCCTGTGCCTTGTGCCTGTGTGACAGACTGTCCTCTGCCTCCTCCCTCAGAACAAGCAGAGCAGCGAGTCTGCTGTGAGCAGCACCGTGAATCCCATCACCATTCATAAGCGCAGCAAGGTCAAGACTGAGGC